CGCCATCCTCAACATCATCCTCAACATAGTCGTCAACCTCAGCATCTTCATCATCATAATCATCATCATCGTCATCATCATCATATGTTCAGTGTACGTAGTAGTACTCCCAATTAGTTGGACAGAAGTTCGCTTAGCAGCATTTTCAAAAAATGTGTTAACACCTGCATTTTGTGCCCTCGAACCATATAAAACTGCCAGGCGCCAGGAGGCGCGCAACCCTACTAGTAGTAGTAGTAGTAGTAGTAGTAGTAGTAGTAGCAGTAGTAATAGCAGCAGTAGTACTATGGTGATGATGGTGATGGTGATGCTGGAACATGGCGGTGCTGAAACCTTGTTTCCGCCGCATAGAGATGATCCTTGAGCTTGTGTAGCTGCACCATCCCGCAGCCTTCTTGCAGCATTGCAGGAAGTTCGCGTGGCTTTCAGTGTGGCGCTGTTTGATCGCAGCTTCACGGACGGTTCTGCCGTTTCCACAGCTTCACGTGAGCTGCAAGTCTAGCCCATGCAGCTGTTGAGAACGAGATGCGCAAGAGCTTGCTTGATTTTCTTACGAGCTGTTATTTACTTGTGTTTGGCTCAAGCGGCCTCCCAAGTGTTTATCGAGCAACATGTTCTCAACATGGGTAGGCTTCGCGTCAGAAAACCAGACCCAACAAACCGGGAAGATCGTGTTATGAAAGATGATGTCCAAAGTCGTAACCACAACGTAGGAATGCCTACGACACGACTCTGGGCAGTCATGGTGATTCTGCTCGTTAAGTGAGGATAGAACATCCCGTAGCCCTCACAACTTACAACTTAGAACACGGCTGCGCCTCGCAGCCTGCAAACTCCCCATTGCAGATGTTGTTGCTTGCAAGAATATTCGTTCTATTGTTTCTCGAATATAAGAAACAAGTGAAAACCCACATCCCCACCACATCCCCAACACCTAGCCGAAGTACCCATCAGTCTGTGGACCCTACACGGCCCTACCCTGTTTTCCCATATCCGGTCCTGGCTGCGACGCAGACTGCTGGCACCTTCTCAAGATGCTCGGCTGTGAATGATTCTTGATGATGCTTACTGCTGCCAGCAGGGCGGTACGAGATCTGAAGCAGATCTGTGGTGAGGATGAGCGGTGGTTCCTTGCTGCGGCTGTTTCAGCCCGAGCCTTACACTGTTCTTGCACTCCTTGCAAAGGCTGCCAACTCTGTCTCAGAGGTCCGAGTACTTTGATGCCCACTTGCACATGCACTACCTTTTGCGCATGGAGCAAAGTGGAGTGCAGGACTATCTAGCCACGTGGCTTAACACGCGCCTGACTTCGCAAAACCGCTGCTGGTCTAAGGTAAACGAGCTGTACAAGATGACGGATGATGATGTTGCACCTCGGATTGCCGTGGGGTCCTGAACCCTGAGCGCTCGGTTGATAGGCAGGCCCTTCCATCCTAGGCTGCGAGCTTTCCAAATTGGCCCCTGCATTTGCGGCGTGTGTTTTTGGTGTGATATCGCATTGCTTTATGAATGCCGTCGCGTATAGTGGATGTGCGCATGATGTCACGAGCGGCCTCAGGATTTTTATCTGCCGCAGCTGAGCCAAGTTGCGCTGCTGCGATACAGCAAATCATCACTACATCGCTTTCTGCTGGACAAGGAAGCTTGCATCCAATCAGGGCTGGCTTCGCACAAGGCTTTGAGTACCTCAAAGCTCCAAGTTGGGGGTGGAGCCGCGAAAAAGCGCAGAATATTGATAACTTAACCAAAGACGTGCCTTCCAGGATTCCAGAGCACTCGTGCGCAGAAGATTCGATCCCTCAAGTGTGGAAACTTTTGAGTTCGTCCGGCAGTGTGTGCTGCATGCCAGGGCTCAGGGGTTCGTGTTTTAGTGATTTTCCAGGGCTTGAGCCGAAATGTTTTTAGCTAAAAACCCTAAACCCTAATCTTAAACCCTAAACTCTAAACCCTAAACCCTAAAGCCCTTAAGCCCAAAGCTGGGAAGAAAGCCCACACTTCCTCCTGGGCCCCTCCCAGGCCGCTCAGTCCATGCCCTTCGCGCTGAAGATACACTGGCTTGTCCGAAGCATCTCCGAGGAGCCTTGGCCTGGGTTTAAGGGAGCCCTAAATTATTATTAGTATTATTATTATTACTACTATTATTATTATTAGTATTATTACTTATTACCACTGTTATTGGCATTATTATTATTATTGTTATCACTTCTGTTGCTATTCTTGTTGCTATTAGCATCACTAGTGTCATTATCGTTATAAATCCTGAGCCCTAGCCCCCATGAGCTCTGAATCCGCTTTGCGCAGGAGTTCAACTTTCATATCTCCCCTCAAGACCACCCTGCCATCGTCCTATGTCCACTGTATGTATGTATGTACTCCTTGTAAGTGGGAGGAAGAAGTGTTCTGAACCGAAAACCCGTGCCTGAGAAGCCTATGGGGCGTGGTGTCTCTTGGACACAACTGTGTGGGACAGAATTTGATTCTTGAAGTCCGAGAACCATGGCCCAGTGGAGTTTGCCTGGAGGACAAAACGCCAGAGCTCTACGAGAATGCCATGGCTATGTTGAGCCTCTGTGAAGCTGCGATGGCACCTTAGCGCGAAGCACGGCTTGCGAGTCCTAGTCTAATTCCACGAATCCCACTTTTCAGACTTTTGCGAACATTGCAAACTCTCTGCCAACGGTCTGAGGGTTCGAAACACAACCTGCGGTCTTTTTCAGGAAGATGTTTTGTGCGTTCAAAGCGTCATCAGAGGTAAACTCGACGGTGGCGGTTGGAAAGACCGAAGAGGCCGCCTGCAGCTGTCGGAACATCTCACGTTGAAGTGTTGTGTCTAAGGATTTGGGGGTCCTAAGCTTCTTTGGACGAAGGCCAGCGCAGGAAGCAGTTTGACGTCTGCAGCCCTCGGCTGCATACTCGCGCCCGAAGCCCTCAAATCCTTGAGCCAATGCAGGAGCAGCCCACCAAAACAGAATTTCTGAAGCCCTTAAACCCTGAAGCTTCAAAGCCAAAGCTCCCTCAGCCAAAAGCCGCGAAGCCGGAACTTGGGATCCCTGATACCAGAGGTCCCCCCGGGCCCAGAATCCCTCAGGTCGCCGACGGGCCACCTCGCGTCCAGCGCATGCTCAGGTGCTCAGACCGGGTGCTGATGAGTTCTACAGGAGGTCGGTTTTGGGAGGTTCGGCTTTGGGCATGGCTTTAGGGTCTAAGGTTTCCAGCTCGGACTCTTGCATTCATGGGCCATCGTAGGTTGCTTTGGAGAATCGTCTAGGAACAACTTTTGAGGAGGCGACGAGCATCATAAGGATTGCAAGAGAAGAGCAGCTAGGAGACGCGCCTGCCTCAACTTGCGCGCCGCATGGCAACATCCTTTCAACTCTCGGATAGAGTTTTGCAACACCCCTCACAGCTCCGTGGTGCCAAACCTCGTCAGGGGTGAACATACTGTCCAATACACTGCCATGTTGTCGCCCTACCATGCTACATCTCTGCATGTAAGACGGTGTGGGGACCCCTGACTAAAGCTCTTCGGTTCACCTTGAGTAGAAACAAGTACCGCAAAAGGAGCCCGATTCAGGGGAGCCCTTTTTGCAGAGCTTCTATAATCCGACTGGAAACTTGGAACAGGTATTTGCCTTGTGAATCCCAGCGGATAAAGGCACGGAAAGCGATCTAGTAGAAGAGCTCCGCAAAACATCTACGGAGCCCTCAACCCTAAGCCCTAAACCCTAAACCCTAAACCCTAAACCCTGAAACCTAAGCCCTAAACCCTAAAATCCTTAAGCCTTCACCATGTCCTGCAGACCCCCTTACAGACGCCCTTGGCAGGTCCAGCTCGGATCCGAACCTCCAGTCGATCCGAGCTCCTTCCAAGGGACGCGCTCGGAGCCCTGGGTGTTGGGTTTGGGGCCTAGTTTAGGGTTTCGGGCCTCTAGTTCAGGGTTTAGGGCCTAGTTTCGGGTTTAGGGCCTAGTTTAGGGTTTAGGGCCTAGTTTCGGGTTTAGGGCCTAGTTTAGGGTTTAGGGCCTAGTTTCGGGTTTAGGGCCTAGTTTAGGGTTTGGGGCCTAGTTTAGGGTTCCGGGTATAAATTCAAGGGGCATGTACCAGTCTGTGTGCAAGAAATAAAGCGGATAAAGCACTCTCGTGGCGTCGTCGTATCGTCATGATTATCGCGAGGGGTATTAGTTCAGGGTTTCGTGGTCTAGGGCCTGGGGCTTCAAGATGTAGCCCTAAGCGGACTTCGGGGTAAAAGTTCAGGCCCTAGTAGGCTTCACGGTACCGTGCAGGGGAGAGCTACAAAATAAGAGTCAGAGGAGCGATCGTAGTTGTGTCCAAGCATGCTCGTGCGCGACATCTTGCTGATCATATCATTGACCCCATATCCGCCAGTCTAGCCTCATGTCTCAACTTTGTTGTCGCAGGCATTTTAGGACTACTGAAAGCAGCAACAACAGAAGTGGCGGCTACAGCCTTCCTCACTTCGTACATTGACAGGTAACAGAGTAAGAAACCTGTAAGTAGAAATTGAAGTACCCACCGCCTGAAAACAGGATTAGGTTCATGTCATGAGGGATGTTAAACAGTCGGCCAGTGCAGGAAAAGTCTTCGGAGCATTACCAGAAATAGACAGCAACGACGGTTCTTCGAGCATCTTCACGGTGTCGTCCCACAGACCGAGTGTACATATTGTTGTGTGTGCAACAGTGCTTTTCGACAGCCGGTAAGTCATCTTGCTGTGCTTCGCTGATCTTTAGCATCCCGCAGAGGAAGTGGATCTTGCACACTATTATTGTGCTTACACACGAGGCTGCAGAACTTCTGCCCGCATGATGCCTGCTCTCGAATCACAGGCAAGAGGCAGAAACATCAATGTCAGAGGGCTTGTGAGCCCTTCAGGAATGCATGTTAGCTGAACTTCCTTTGGCCCAAAGGTTCTTGTTGGACTAGAGTACTTCCTTTGAACGAATGGGGGTTCGAAGTTCCCGATGAAAAATTCGTTTCCTGCGATCCACCGTTCGCATGAAGGGTGTGTTACATCTGTACGTGTATTAGTTTTCCGTGCCTTCATAATTATGCCACGTGGGAAGATCTGGTTGTGGCAGTTTCCAATCACCAGTTCATGAGGTAGCCCGTGCCAAATGCGTATGTTTGCAAGAGACAATCGCATCGTTTCCCTTCTGAGAGAGCCCGCGAATCCCATCAGACGCTTTTGTCATGGTTTCCGAGGCCTTGAAGTCTAAGCCGCGCGTCCGAAGAAGCAGGACCCTGATGTCATACGACCCACGAGCCTGGGGCCAGAGGCCACGGGGTTCTGGAGTTGCTGGAGGGAGTTCAAGCTGAAATTGTAGGGCTTCGCAGGGTTTGTCGTGATGGTGGCGGTGGTGGTGGTCGAAGGCATCAGCGGTAAGCTCGTTGGTTCGAACCAACAGCAGTCGCAACAACGCAGTGTTTGGATAAGCTGAAGCTGTTGAAGTGTGTCCCAAGCACCCCGAAGCCTACGAGCAGGACGCCTGGTGCCTCAATCCAGTCCCGTGCACGCGGGTATACGGAGGAGAGCGTTTCGTGGCCTGAATGGAGGGTGTGCGATTGTCATCAGAGTTTTCAAGAGGTAAACCCTCAACCCTCAACACTAAACCCTAGGCCCTATGCGGCCTATGCGATAGTTAGGCTTTACAGCTTTTGCCCCCTGGAGCTTGATTGCGGTCTCAGGTGCCGCCGACTCCAACTGACGAAGGGGGTGAACTGGAAAGTGGGGAGGCCGTTCGGGTGCTGTGGGGATTCGGGGTCCCTTGGGGTTTGGGGCATGTTGGTGTAAGGGCTCAGTGCCTTCGACCCTAAGCCATGCCTGGCTCGTGCGAGTGTGTGAGTCGAAAAACCCAGACCTTACATTGCAGTGTCTTTTGAGGTTCAGACGCATCCACAAGGTCTGGTCAGCTCTGCAATCTTCGATCCAGAATAAGATTTGGGTTGTGCAGCTGTTCAGGATCCTCATGTTCCGAACACAGCCGAAGGCGAAGTAATTTTCGTTGTTGTTGTTTGACGTGCCAATCCCCAGGAAGACACAGACCTTTGGAAACCCTAAACCAAACCCTGTTGGCATGCCAGGCCCGCTTCAATCCACCCCCGCGTCGCCAACTGTCAGGGGCCACGCTCCCAAAATCTGTTGTTGTTTTGGCCGCTTTAGGGTTTGGGGAGTTCACCGTGAGATGGGCGATGCGTGTTGTGGTGATACCCAGGCGATTGCAGACACGCAGAAAAGTTTGGGGAGTTAAGATATAGGGTCCGGGAATTTCAGTCTGGAGGAGCCGGGTGGCACGAGTTTACAGCATAGTCGGCGCCTTGATTCCTAACATTTGCATGCCAGGTGGACAGGCGATGTTACGGGTTTACAGTTGGGTTTAGCTTCGCGGTTTGTGTTTTTGGTCAAAGAGATTGGGGGTTGTGCCGTGCCTTGAGGGAGTTGACAGGAGTTGCAGTGAACAGAGAGTTGAGGTTCGGGTGTATGTACCATCGCCATCGCCATCGACAACACCGTTGTCATCATCACCGTTGCTATCGTGATCATCACCACCACCATCATCACCATCATCACCATCATCACCATCATCACCATCATCACCATCATCACCATCATCACCATCATCACCATCATCACCATCATCACCATCATCACCATCACCATCATCACCCTGCTGTGCCGCTGGCCGCGATCATGATTTTCATGCTGAGTCTCGACATTCACATGGCTTTTCACTTTCATTTATCGCTGTCACTCTGAGATTGGCATCCAAGTTCTCTTCGCTTTTTTGGGTTCGCAGTGTAGACAGGAGTTGGTGTCCAGGTCGACACATGTCTCCACTGTTATCCCCAACATGCTCGCGATTTCCATGTTCAGCTTTCCGTGCCGTCTCACCTTTAGTTGCGGATCTCACTGGCTCAGATACTTCAAGCATTGTCTCGGATGCATGCATGCTCCATGCATTGTCACACATCAAGATGTGGGTCGGAGCTTGGGCTGTGGTGGAGAAAAGCCCAGATGTCCCAGAGTGAGATCGCAGGTTTAATTTGTCAACTCTTCGGACTTGAAAATGATTTTTCGGAGGACCGGTGTATTCCAGGCTTTGAGGTTCGCGTTGGCTTCCCGTGTAAATAGCTAGACCTTCGCATGACTTCTGCAGCAAGGACAGCTCCCTGACGGACGAAGAGGCCGAGGAGCACGAAGAAGCGGGACCATGCCAGGCCGACTTGCGGACCTCCTTGCCCGAGGCACGCCCAACGTTTCCGCCCAAGGCTTCAACCCATCGTGGTCTTCAACCACATCTCCGCAACGTTGGCCCATGTCACCTGCACGTTTCTTGACGCGTGTCTGAAGGTCGAAGCGCTCAAAGCTGCTGCTATACGACATCTCGCCGCACTTGCGCCTTACCGCAACGGCCGATGCATTTCATGCCGTAGAGAACATGATGATATGTGGGGCATAGTGGAGTCCCGCGATCTAGCCCTCTGAGATGCAGGGCTTACCTGCCGAACCCGCAGCCCCTTCCAAAGCTGTGGTGGCGAGGCAGCACGGAAAGCTAAAGCAAAGGCACCAAAGTTCCGAAACCTGAGCCTGCAACACGAAGCCTCCAACCAAACCCTATCCAAGCCCTGAGCGCTGCAACACCAAGGGCCCCGAAAGTCACCAAAAGCCTGTGAATCTCAGGAGCAGTCCTCCACTGTGGCTGAGCGTGGTCAGGCCGGAGGAGCTGGAGAGATCGAAGAAATAGTCCCCGTTCACAGGGTTCTGGCACTTAGACCCTCAAGAGGTCTGAATGCAGAAGACAAGTGAGGAGTATCTCAGGCTTTGGGCTTTCCTGTCTGCTTGGGGGTCCGCGGCGTCGAGCACTGAGCAATGTAGTGTTTCTTGAAATTGCAGATCTTGGGTTTGGCGGTCGTCGGGTTGGGCGCTGATTTCAAGGTGGCTAGTTGGAGGGTTCAGGGACATTCGTGCATAGATTCAATCGCTGCTTTGGCAAACGTTTTTGAGTCTCCCTGTCTCGAGATCGAGTTTGCTTGCGCTATGGCTATCTCTCTCTGCCTCTCCTTGCTTTGTCTTTCACCTCTGCTCAGCTCAGAACAGTGCAAACCCGGGAGTGTGAACAGTGCATCTTTCCAGCTCGCAAGCGTCTTGTCGAAAAAACAGCGGCGAAGTGGTTTCAGATAGGCATACATGATATCGGGCCTTGATCAGGCGTTGGACTTGTCCAGCAGCTGCCCCAATGCGACCGGGCTGCATTCAGCTCTGAGTCTCCATCTGGCCAAACCGCAACGGCCCAACATCCTTAAACTCCCGAACCCCAACTCAAAACCCTAAGCCCCCCAACTTCCCTAAAACCCTTTGAACCTGCCCCCCGAGGCCTACCGGAATCTCGGTCTGCCTGTGGCCTCGGTCTTGTCCGAGGAGGAGGACTGCCTCGACGACGAGCGGGTGCGGGAATGAGCCTTGGCGGATGTAATGCTTTGGAGATACCGGTTGTGCTCTGTTTATAGGGTGCGGGACGAAGAAACCCTTTTGTACAGCAAGAAAAGGGGGCTCACGTTCGGCCTGATGTTTCAAGCTGTAAGCAAGCGAGGCAAGACAGTCAGATGACGGCCTGCCTTGGGTTCGCTGCCTTCGCCCGTAACCCCGGGAGCGGGCCGAAGCCCATCTGCTTGAAAGACGAAGGTGATGGAGTAACCGCCAAACAGCTTCAATTACTTTTTCTAGACCGGGAAACACGGACGAACGCGCCGTTCCCACGCTACCCTGCGACAAGGCGCTTCAACAGCTGGGTAGATTTTCATGCGCCGGCGGGCTTTTCAGGTTTGATAAGCGAGGTGTTCGGGGTTGTGTAAAGGACCTAACTCGGTCCCGCACTCACGATTCATCGGGAAAGCATGTGGGATCTACTTCTAGGGCGGGGGGTGTGCTGCCTGCAGCCTGCAAGACTGGAAAAGTCCTTCCAAATTGGGGCCATAGGAGGGTCGTGGAAGCTTTCTTAGATGGCGAGTCCTAAAACTGCTGGGACCATGGGAAGTTGTCTTGGTTGACATGCATGGCTCTCTGCTTGCATCCGCCTTCCGGGAACCAAGGCCTGATGAAGAAAAGGAGGTGTGATTACTTCAACATGCAGAACCAGCTCGTGTGTTCCGGCTTGATTGGCTGAGGCGGTATTGCCCATGATGCCACCTGCAATGAATCTATCCTCGAAGCCCTCAGCTGAGGTCGCTCATCATGACTCTGTCGGGTGTTTTGACCTCCTTTGCCGACAAGGCTCGGTGTGGTAATCCCCTGGAGGAACATCATGGAGTGCTGGGCCTTGTGTGCTTGAGCCCGAAGTCCTAGACCCTACATACGTCACGGCGGAACCCCATAGAACCCTGCTAAAACATCCCACAGAACCCCGGTAAATTAAACCTCCATAAGAGCCCCCGGACAGAAGGCTCAGGCTTCACATGCTTTTTTCGCCCCGGAGAGGCCGAGCGCAAGGGCGCTTTGGCCGCCACCTTCTCGGTTTTGAACCGCTGGCTTCTGGATCGCCGGGTCTGCATGGCCGCCCTGGCAGAAGGCCAAGGGGGCACCCGAGAGTTACGAGGGTGACCTTAGAGGGTTACCTTTAGCAGCACCTTAGAGCTAGCCACAGCGCTACCTTAGGGTTACCTTATCGCTCGTAGGGCTACTGGGGTTCAAGCGCTGGGGGCTCGGGGCTTCGGGGTTTCGGCGTTTCGTGGATTCAGGGGTTAAGAAACTGTAACGGTGTTAGGGTGTAAAAGGGTTTACGTCGATTCAGATATAGAAGTACACCTTAATGACCTTCAGTTGCACAGTAGAGGATGCATCGCAAAAAAGTATCACGGTGCTGTGCTCTGAGAGGTCCTTTGTTTCTTCTCGGTACCCACATACCGCACCATGGCTGCACCCAGAGAGGGAGTGAAGAGGTTGGGCATTTTGGGCTCAGCAACTTGATGCGCTGTGGGCAAAGTAATGCTGCCGTATGGTGCCAGTCGCTTCTGGAGATCACTGCTTTGAGAGGCTTTGGAGACATCAGGACAGCCTTCACCAAATTCTTTACATCCATGCCGCTTGGTTGCATATTTTCAGCGTCTTGCGAGCGGGCAAGAGCAGGCAACGGAGGGAGCTCCAGAAACATCCGTGACAGGGGGCTGTCGTGGCACATGGGAACTGGCGTTACGAGCAAAGGTGGACCTTTGTCGAATTTTTACATCGGCGACACGCGCGCCGTTCCTCATGACCTACGAGTCGGCGAACCTTGACGAGGCTTCCACTTGAGAAGCTCTGCCCGGTTGCTCTCAGAGACGTCGGCGGGGGATCTTCAAGGTGTGCAGCCGAGCATTGCAGGTTTTGCTGGGGGGTGCAAGCCCGGAGCTCTTAAAAAGCAGACGTTGGAGAATTGTAGTGCCCCCAACCAGCTAAAATACTGAGCTTCCCGTTGGGGTCCAGAAGGAAGAGTTTTCAGTTCGCATTGCCGCCAACGGCAATGGCATATCTGACCAGTCCTTGCACCAGAAGCGCTGAAAGCTCGAGCCGAAAAATGTTAAACTCGACGGCCTACGCCCAAGCCCTAATGCAGGTGCTGGATGGTGAGGAGGCTTCGCAAGTGGGTTTCCGGGGCTGCGAGGCGTTTTTGTTTGGGTCTTGACCGGGCAAAACCCCAAGGATTCGTTAATCTGTCGGGGAGTTCGTCGTACAAGCTTTTTTGAAGGACTTGTTGCTTAGCTGCAGCATTTGTTGCCGAGGAACATTCGTGTCAGTGCTCTGGGATCGGTCCAGTTGCATGGCCAAACGCATTGACATTCTGAAAATCTGACTGAGGCGTCCTCCTCCGCCAATGCCCACATCTCCCATCAAACGCTGCTGCACCAGCCAACGCGCCGACCTCAGCTGGACGATGAGACTAGCTTTTGGAGTTTGGAGAAACTTCTGCCTCAAGGGTTCCCGGGACCGACCCCATTCTGAGGACCGCTGCTGTGCAGCACTCCGTGTCAACCAGGCTGCAGCGCGAGTGAACATGCGGGGCCTAGGGCCCAGGATTTGGGATTCAGAGAAAAAGCAGCCAAAAAGCTTGCGCACTTTGCACTGGGCTATGCCTTTTTCGGCCTGCCCGGCTTTTGGAAAGGTCCTTCACTGCGTTCATCTGCGTGCCATCTGGAACCAAGCAGGAGCTTAGCAAGTTAGTAGGAATGAGATTATACGAAGCACTAGCAGCAACTGCGAGAAGCACTGACGCCCACAAGGAGAAGCATCAGAGTGTGAAAGTGAATGAGAAGGGACGTGCGCCAGAAGCCCATGAGCAAGCTCCTCACAGGGTCCACAGTCGCAGCAGCCATTGAACATGAACGACGACGACGACGACGACGGCGATGTCAAGATGACAAGGACGACCACGACCACGATTCACGACCACGACTCACGACCACGACCATGACAACCACAACAACAACAGCAACAACAACCACAACAACAACAACAACATGAACAGCAAAACAACAAGCAATAACAGCAACAGCAACAGCAACAGTGGATTGGTTTGAAAAGGTTCTTGTTTTCTGTCCAGTGACGACGATGATGGCGATGATGATGGTCATGGCATGTCATGGCCGATCGTAACGGTGGCGGTGGTGGTGCTGACGATGTCAATGGTCAGGTGGAGGATGACGAAGATGGTGGGCCTGATGACGGCGAGCAGGATGACGATGGTAGTAATGACTTTTTTCGTAAGTGCGTCGTCTTATCTCCCCGGTGGCCCGGCACAGAGATGCAAAGCAACAGCCGGGTATGACCGTTTTAAACAGGATGAGGATCCGTTCCTGATGATCACGGAGTCGGTGTTGATCGTGCTGGCGATGCTGGGGTGGTGATGATAAGGTTGATCATGGGATGGAGGTGATGACTGTCATCAGGAAAACGAAGGTGATGATAGTCACGTGAGTCAGTCAGGCGAACACACCAGGGAATCCTGGCACACACCGTAGATCTCCAGCCCTGGAAGGCTCGCAGGGTGCGTGCTGACAGAGCTGCGGCGTGCTGCCGCTGCTGTCGCTGCTGCTGAAGAGAGCCCCGACTCTGCCCCCGCTGCGAATTCAGGGCAGTCTGATGACAGTGCCTTGGCGGTGAGTGCACTGAGGAATTGGCATGTGCTGCTCTCTTCTCGCAGCTTTGCTGATTCGCGCAAGTTCCGCTGCAACAAGCCTGCGCAATCATGCGCAATCCATGATCAACTGAGGCGATCACCCCCAGAGCATGCAGGACCTCCATCACTTGATTAAGGAGGCGCTGAACGAGTTTGTGCAGTTGGAGAGTTCAATGAAATGCACAGAAGAGCCGAGATGAGTAGAATATGACTTAAACGACAATGTGTCCGAAATTCTTTAACCCTTTGGAGCTTTTGGAGGGGTAAAAAAGCAGAAGCTGGGTGAGAAATTCGGTGTGGAGCAGTGTGGCAATCTCGTGGATCAGGGCCGGAGCGGTTGTGGGGTTTGAAGCGTTGGTGGGCGGCAGGATCGTGGTATTTGCTGGGACGATAAACTGATCACAGCAGACGGGAGATCACCATTGGGTCCATTGATTGGGTTGCCAGCATTGAATCTGAAACACAAGCCAACAATACCCCATCGGCCAGTGGCTTGACAGATTGGAATTCTGCTGCCATGAGCAACAAGCCTTAGCCGCCTCAGCCCCAAGCCTAGAAGCCTACTCGGCCACTTCACCTCGAGATAATTTATCGCGTTGAAGTTTATCCAATGTACACCGTGTTCAACTCGTCAACTCGGTCACCATTTGTACGCACGCCTTCAAGCTCCAGGCGATTTCTGGTCAACCACCAGCATCTAAACGCTCTCGACTCTTCAGTCTCCTACTGCAACCCTAAGCCCGAAGTTTCGATGCCCAAAACCCCCAGCACTTTGCAAAGCCTTCCTCCGGCCGGGAGGTCACCCCCGATGACTGGCGGTCCTTCAGCTCCCACGTGCCCAAGGCGCCCGCCAAGGAGCAGCCCGAGTGGGAGGCCGAAGTTGCTCCGGCAGCAGCGAGCTAAAGATTTAGAAAAAAGGGTTTGGGGTTTAGGGTTGGCTTCGGGGGTTGGGCCTCCGGAGTTTCGAGTTTCGGGATTCCGGCTACGTAGGTGTTGGCTGTCCGTTGTAAACTTCTCAATGGTAGGACCAACAGACCCCGCCCTTAGCTGAGCAGCTTGCAGCTCATGCCGCTGAACCAGAAGACAACCCTAAACCCTCAGCAATCCTGTAGGCCCCGTAAGGACTTTGCGTTCGGTTCTGTTGCTAACCCTACAGAAGGGGTCCGAATCATGAGGTGTCCCTCGTTACAGTCCCCATATCACTATAACTCTACTCTGACGTGCACCAAAACCCTCTTCGAACCATCTTCTAATTTCAAAGCTCCCAGTGTTACACCCAGAACCCTAAACCCTAAACCCTAAACGTTACACCCAGAAGTGGACCCAGGAGCCGCTAGCGAAGCCCATGAGGCACAGGGGGGCGACTGTCCGGAACTCCTCTCCTCGAATTCCCCTCAGGTCTTTCCGTGCGTCAGTATCAGATTGTCTCCGCGGGCTAGTTGGGGATGGTGCAGAGTGTAGAGATTGCAAAACACTCGAAGCCAAAATCCATGCAAACCCGACACTTGGGGTGCAGGGCAGCTGCCAAACAGCGGCGTGAGCTTGCAGCCAGGACGAGGACGCTCCGGGAGAAGTGTTTGGGTTAGTCAGTTGTTCCCTGGAGCGATTCTTGCTCAGCTGGCGAAGCTTGCTCTCTCTGCAAGGCAGCTTATATGGGGAGAGCCTTGGAAAGACAAAGCCGCTCAGCCGCACGCGGCGCAGCCGCTGAAGATAGCAACCTGGGTGTGGGTGACTGCTGGTGAAAGTGCTGATGCTGATCATGACGAAAGGGCTGTGATGATAGTGATGGTGGTGGTCGCAGTAGTCGTCCTTGGTGGTGGTCATGGTGCTAGTGCTGCTGCAGACGACGATGATGGTCATGCTGGTGGTAGTGTTGACGAAAGTTGAAGGAGCTGCTGATGCTTGTGATGATGATGACGAAGCTGATAATGGCAAAGGTTGGAGCCCTATGTCTCAAGACCAAAGATCCCGTGCCAGAAACCAATATGTGTTGTGTTGTTCCTCAAGTCATGTTCCGGTTGGTGCCCGAAGTGCTGGCCAGCTTTGATGAACTGAGTAACTCTTTATCCTCCAAACTAGAATCTCCAAAGCTACCAGGCTCGCCTCACAGCACAAGCACCCGAACCACCGATAGCTCGAGCCCTCCGATAAGTGCAAAGTCTCCAGACTGCCTCCAGCCCCTCCCGGACACTCCACGAGATGCGACATGCCCGAGACCGTTCACAAGCTCACGCCACCTGCTCAGGTTGAGCGAGTACGGGTGGCGTCTCCCTATAGCCGCTACGCGTCGTGGAGTTTGAGCCTTGCCGCAAGACAAGCAAGCAGCAAGACCTTCCCTGCATCGCAGGTGGCTACACTGCTCAGAGTAAAGTTTTTCCACATACCCGCCGAAGTCGTGCAAGTTCAAGACGAAACCCGAGGCGATGCAAAGACATCATCGCTTTAAACTTACAAATCCGATGTGCTCCGAAGCCCTAGCGACCCCCCGCTCGAGCTTCAGAAGACTTGTCTGAATGTTTGAAAGCAGGCATTGGCAAAAGGTGGGGTCCACCAAACCATAAGCATAGGAACTCATGGAAAAAAACGAGAAGGGCCTGAAGATAAAGCAACTTTCATTGAATGCAAGATGTGCCATGGTATACAGATCTTCAGGAACAATGCACCCCTCCTGAATGGAAGAAACCTTGCGGTACATGTCGACATGCCTCGAACTGCTGGAACAAGCCTGCACTTACACATAGCAGAACTAACTAATGCCAATTTCGGGCGATTCCTGCCTGGGGTCATTCAGCCGGACCCTCCAAGCATATGCAACAAAGGGAGGCATCGAAGTGCCCTGTCGAAGCCAAAGCACGAACATGAAACGTGTTGATGATTTTGCTTATGCCCGTAACAGAAATCAGCTCTGTCGAAACCTGTCATGTCGCCGACACGCAAGTCGGGGAACCCGTGCTTCAACACCTTCACATCTGCGATCGGGAAGAGCTCGAATTCATAACCAAGTTTGTCGACTAACCCTGCCACCGTCATGACGGAATATGACTGTGACCCATCTGTAACATGCAGCCACGCATCTAGGTAGGGATTGTTTTGCTCCTTCTTCATGTTTGTGTTGGTGGCACGGACGGCTGTGTGCGGATGGATGTTGATAGACGTGCTCAAGACCCTTGTCCTGCCCTCAGGACGAAGACTGTTTTCAGCTTGCGCCAAAAGAGTGCAGCATGTTTGTTGAAGTCAGGGCTTTTGTTTTTCAACCTGAATGGTACATGGCACGGTGAGGCATATGTAGGTTTCGAGGTTTACGCTGCGTGCGATGGCTGATGCTGACTGATAACCGAAAAGGGGCCTTGCCCGGTTCGCCAAGCTGAGAGAATCGAAAGTCAACCCATAACTTCAGCTTATTGCTCCAGTTCGTGTAGCTGAAGTGTGTATGCCAACGTTGCTCGTCTGAAAACACGAAGACGGTGAAGATCCTACAATTAGAGCCTGCGGGTGCCTCTGGCTTAGAATGTGGGAAGCGGCAAGAAGACTTGGAGGTGAAGATTTGGGTTTTGCAGGTCCTTATCAGGGGTTTACGGGTTTCTCATGTGGGCCGGTGCAATTCCGGCATAGACGAGTCGAGGGCTTCTAAAACGCGCGTTGATCCGGGCCGATCCGGGACACAGAGCGAAGTAGCACGGTTTTTTACACCATTTAATTCGACAGATCTCTGTCTAGAACACCATGTTCAGCCCTCCTAAACTCAAATCTGAGCGTTGAATCCCTGGGCTCAAGCACCTGGCAATCGCCTAGCAGGCTCCAAAACTCTAAACCTCAAACAACTCCTAAGAGTCAGCTGCTAGTTTGACACCGACTCGCACCTACGAGCCTCGCCTGGCATGTCCGAGTTGTGAGAGCTAAACAACTCCTAGGCCGTAACACAACCTTGGTCCCACGGGCTCCAACTCCTGGATCGAACCATTGAGGAATGCGGTGATGGTGAAAGGAGGCGACGACCTTCGACAGGAGCTGCTAGCCTCCCAGCCTCTTGGTCTCCGGCTTTAAAGGGAGAGGGCGGGGGGGTTATGAAAGGGGTGCTCATCGTGAGTGTCTTTACGGTTTAAGTTTCGAGTGTATACAAGGCCCCCACCTGCCGTGTACCGTGGCATGAAGAGCCTTTGTCAGATGTTTAGGGTGTCTGTCGAGTGTGGGTCTTGGGAGAAGTCTCCTGTGTTGGGTTCTGTCCACTCATGACCTGCTTGAGGTCGAGTAGGTTTTGATAAGATTGACGGCTACCGGCGTTGCGAAAACGGCAGTGAGTCGATACGTTTTCGATTGGAGTCGTCTCAAGAGTCTACTGTAGCCTTTTGAGATTGCCGACGGGCGCGGGGAGAAAAGTGGGGGCTGTTCCAGATCCTTGTTTGGAATTGGGGGGCTCCTTCTTATAATTATAGTATAATGGGCCCCAAAACCCTATTCTAATTATTAAGGCCCCTATATTAAAACCCATCTTGGAGCAGTCGGGCATTGCTATGATCGGAGCCGCGGCCCCGCAAGCTGAGGATCATCGAGCAGTTCAGCGCAATTTTCCAGGCACTCGGGGCCCTAAACCTAAACCCTAAACCCTAAAACCTAAACCCTAAACCCTGTATCATTCGGAGTTGGGGCTGAGTGCACAAGGCGCTAGAGCCGCCAAGCGACCGGGACACCTCAGCAGCCTTACCTGGAGAGCCCGAGTGAGCGCCCAACGCGAAAGCTGAGAGAAAGGGCCCAAGACTCTACGGTTCCATACATCCAAATCAAGTCTCGAGAGCCAAACGGTTTTGGGGCATAGGGGGCCTAGGGGTGAGGCTTAAACTCTCGCGAAATCCCGTCCGTATTTTTGACTTTCACACAGACTTTGCTTGTATGACTTCGTGAGGCCTTTTCAGGTGTGCAAGGATAGACTGTGGGCAGGCTTGCTAGAGCGATGGTACGTTGCACCAGCGGGTATATAGCAAAGTCCAAGAACTAGGACAGTGTCAGCGGCGATTCACTTGCTGCCTTCCTTACCCTGTAAAAGTTCGAGTCTTAGTCCTGCATGTTTGAGCTTCGCAGCCGAACGACCCTCATCGAGCCCTCGGTCAGGTGTCGAATCCCGGCACATAGCCCGGAGGGTGTCGCGTTGAAGCTTGAGAGCAGACAGGAGGAACGCCGATAACGCGATAACAAAGCCGCCCCGATAGAAAAACCGCGACCGCCCTTCGGGGGTTCGTGCTGCCAGGAAGCTGGTTTACCACTCTGGCTGAAGGCCACAAAGGTGTCGCGGTTGCAGTGCTCTGCAGTTGCAATCCACTTGCAGACCGTGCTGGCCTGCGCCACAACCCACTACACACACCCTCACCCGCCGCGGCTCAAGCATTTTTCGGCAGAACAGGCTCAGCTTCACCTCTCCTTGCTTGGCATCCCCTGCTCCCGAAGCCATGACGGAGGCCGAGGCCGTAATGCGCGACCAGTCCGGGTACATCACCCACACCTCGAAGAAAGACTTTGGCCCGCTCGAGTTCACAGGGAAAATTGCAGGGGGATTAAGGATGGACCTGAAGAGGCGTCTGCCGCTGTATGCCAGCGACTGGACGGATGCGTTTAAGGCTGAGAACATCCAAAAATCTGTGTCCTCCATCATGTGCCTTGCTTAGTTTTCCTAGCTCTTGCAGTTTCCGGTTCTTTACAGTATAATATGATTCTGAAACTTTGCACCGCTGTGTCCATGGGCGTTCGGACAGTCAGGTACTTGTTCATCGCGGCATTGGCACCGGCGATCACCTTCGGCAGCCGCTTCTTGGACGGCACCAATGGTCAGTTTGGAGTGCTGGAGATGCTTGGCTGCAGAAGTAGCTTCAAGAAGCTCTGTCACCCATCGTCCTTTGAAGCGCTTACAGGTGACCGACCCTGAACCCGGCATGCTTTCTACATGTGCGCTCTAATCCGAGGATGATCATGTCCACCTGCATCAGCGGCATACTTTTCTCCACATTCGCAGGCCAACATTGTGTTAGCTAGGTTTGAGGGTGAGCAGAGCAGCTCAGCTAGTGTGATATAACTGAGTTGGTTACCCCTGTGGTCACATAGATTCATGGTCCGGTTTGATAAGCCCCCTGTGACGACTAAATCTGTTGTAGGGTTCTGCGATATGGTGCATCATTGACCTGTTCTGCAAAATTCCTCATGCCTCTTTTGAGGCCCACCCTGGCACGTTGGTCACGGGGCACCGCGATGATTCATTTCCTGCTCTCTTGGGGCCTATACACGCGCTCCTCCGGACTTTAGTAGTCACGGGGCACCAGGGCCATCAAATTCCTCCTCCCGATTAAATTCCTCCCGCCTGTCCTCTCGGGGCCTACCCGTGTCCCCGCACTCTTCTTGCTTAAAGGGTTCATGCTGTTTTCTTTATGCAAAGGGTGATTTATAATGTCCGGGTGCCTTCTTCTTAAAGTGTGGTTTATTGATAAAATCGTGGGTTTCAAATTCAAACCTGCTATGACCACTAACGTGCGAGAAAATGTGGGCCAGCACATGACCAGCCTATGCTGGTCATAGGGCGGCCCCATCGATGGAGTAACCGGAATCAGGGGTAACACAATCGACTATATTCGCCGAGCCTTCTGGGGCCCATTACTCCGGCTGCTCTTCCCCAAAGTGTGAAGTGCACTAAACCCTAAACCCTAAACCCCAAACCCCAAAGTGTGAAGTGCAGGGCAGCCCTTGTCCATCCTGGGCGCAACCGGCCCTTTTTTGGCCTACACCCTCGTCGTCTACGACCTGGCGGAAGCGGTCGACATTGAGTTCCTAGGTCTCTGAGTCATAAGCTTCAATGTGGGGGCTCACGCATATCACAAAGGGACCAACCTCAGTAAAAACCACCCCTCATCTGGGTCCTTGTTGGCTACAATTTTACACTTTTGTTATAGTAAAATCCAATAAGAACTAAAAGTGACAATTTTAAAACTAGCCCCAACAGGGAACCAGTCATCAGAAGGCCATGAAAGGGGGCTCCGCAGGCTCGTCTCCCTGTGATCATCGCCTCTGGAAGAGATGGGGCTCCACTACTCAACCCAGCCCAAAGTCCCGAAGCGTTTAAGCGCTCTGTGGAGCCTAGGTTCATGCCCTTCTACTTCTGGACGTGCATGTGGTGCTCGCTCTTCACCATCCTCGTCGCAGTTTTCGATCTCTGCGCTCTCATGAAGCACGTGACGATGTTCCTGCGAAGCAACCTTGTGGGCTTCAGCTCTTACGGGTTGAGAAGTCAGGCTGGAAGGGTTTGGGATTCAGGCTGCAGGGTTTGGGTTTCGGGGCCTGGATGCACACGAAATGGTTTGGGGATGTTTTGGGGTTTTGGCCCTCCACCAAATCCCCCATCCTGCCTTTTGCGCGTTTGCTTCCCGCAAACTCCCTGAGCCTAAAACATCGCAAGCCCGTGAAACTTGTGGAATCTCTAAAGCGTCGCGCCAGAGCCTTGCTGGGGATTCTAGTGTATCAGGAGCAATCTACAGTCCAATGTCGTTTCCAGTCTTCTTTCCCAAGAATCTTGACGAGTAAGGTTCAGTGAGGACATCTTCGCTGGATTGATATCACTCATCTTCATCATCGATGGAGCGAGGCCCCTCATTGAGAATTTTGCAGATGGTGTAATGCCCCTGACCAATGCCATGTTCGAGATGCTCCTCTTCCTCCTTACCTTCGGATTGGCGACCTATTTGTCCCACTTCCGGCGCAAGCCTTGGGCGCTCCGGTCTATCCGCAACCTCCTGGCCAACTTCGCGGTGACCATCGCCCTCGTTGTCGCGTCAGCGGTTGCTGCGATCTACTCCGACAAGACAAACCTGAGGATGTTGCAGGTCGACGCAGACTTCTCGCCAAACCTGGTCCTCTCCGATGGCAGCAAGCGCCCCTGGATCGTGAACCCCGCGGGCATCGAGCGGCCCTTCCCTGCCTGGGCCATTCCTTATGCCATTCTTCCAGTGTTTCTTTTGCACTGCTCTGATGTCGGTCTAAGATCGTGAGTGGGTCAGAAGGATAGGCTAGCGGCTAGCGACTGCACAGCTCGGGATCCCAAATGATCTTGACATAGCCCAGGCAATTGGCTTTGCAGTGTTGGGGTACCTGGACCAGAACTTGACCTCTGTGATTGTGAATAGGCCTTCCAACAATCTCAAAAAGGGTCCTGGATATCATCTTGACCTCTTTGTCCGCGGAGCGCTTACACTACCAGCTTGCGCCGTGCTCGGCCTCCCCCTTTCTGTGGCCTCCACAGTGCCGAGCATTACTCACGTGATCTCTTTGACCACATACGATGTTCAGCAGATGCCGGGGGGTGAGCGTAAAGTGCCGGTGAAGGTGGTGGAGCAACGCGCAACTAACTTCTTGATCCATGTGTTCATTGGTCTCGCACTCTTCCTTGCCCCGGCGCTGAAGCTCCTTCCACGGTCGGTCCTGCAGGGTGTGTTCTTCTACATGGGAATCGCCAGCTTGACCGGCAACAATCTCTTTGACCGGCTCAAGCTCTGGCTTATTTGGGACTCGGCCAAGTACCCACAGTACCACTACGTGCAGAAGCTTCCCATCATGCGTGTGCACTTGTACACCCTCGTCCAAGTGGTTTGCCTCGCCATCTTGTATGGCCTCAAGGCAATCAAGGAGACCTCGGTCGTGTTCCCCTTCTTCATGGCCTCCTTGGCCATCGTCCGCAAGGGAATGAGGTACATGTTCACCGACGAGGAGCTCAAGCAGCTGGACGGTCTCCCGGGACAGGAAGAGGAGGAGGAGGAAGAAGAGGGACCCAAGCCGGATCTCTTGAACCTGGACGTGAAGCCTCCGGGTCAGGACAAGGAAGCCTAAGTCGAAGCCAGCAAGGAAGACGTGCTGAATCTAAGTCATGCCTCCTAGAGAGGAGAATTTTTCAATTTCTACGGTCTGCAGTGACGGCTTCTCCATTCTCATCGGGTTTCTCTTGCGTTGTTGAGCTGACATCTTATGATAAATTCCAGTCCACGGTAGACTCATAGTGGCAAATGCCCAGAGCTGCACCCAGACCGAAAGGAGCTGAGGGGTTGTAAGAGTTCCTAGATATCTTCGAATTCCTTAGCAGGGCCTGGGCGGATGTTGATACCACCCCCTCCGAGCCGCGCTTAACCACCACAACATGAGCCACCAAAACGTAAGAACATATTGCTGCAATAGGAGTTGTTCACATCTGCATGTAAAAGAATGCAGCGCGCCATGCAGCAGAAAAGCTATGATGACGACAGGAGCCATACCGGAGTTTAATGCACGCAAACATAACTTTCAGTCGGCCTATGCGCAGAACCAGCAGACAAGACAAGCTTGGGGTTGATGTAGCCAGAGGACACAAAGAATGAGCCTTCAGAGACTCGCACGAGAATAAGGATATTACCAAATCACCAGCAAGCCGCAGTGTACCGGTATAGCCATGCAATGTGGCACTATTTCAGTTTTGGAGACTGTCGGAGTTACATTTTGATGCAAGGACGCAGGGTACTAGCCTTCACCTAGGACTATTTGGGGCTTACTGGTTAGGGTATGGAAGTGGCTCCAAACTCATACCGGGCATTCGCAGAGCGAACCGCCGATATATAAACCGACGATTGGGAACAAAGTACGATGTACTGTCAATGAATAGCCTGCTACAGCCGCCTACAATACCACTTAGCTGTAGCACTGTAGCAAGATGTGAAGACGATCGTATGCAAAGACGTGGACGTGAGCTTATTTATCATATGATGCAATGCAAGACGGTAGATCTGTCGCAATATGACATTAAAGGACAGCAGAGCAAGCTTGAAGCAGAACGCCGAGATGAATGCAAAGCATTGTTCGGTAGCATAGCAAGACCGCTGCAGATGGAACGAGACAGCATTGAAGCTTTCACAGCATTGCGCAGAATCAGCAGGCAACGGGCCTGATAGACTTATGCAGAGTAGCTTCATGTAGTCGAGCAACGCTGTAAGCTGGAGAAGAGAGTGTGGGAGTTAGGCAATAAGCCAACATGTCGTTCTCAGTCATGGTTGCAGCAGGCAGCATGGAACAGCTTACAATGCAAACGGAGATATAACAAATAAGAGCAGGTTGGAGCCTGTAAGTTGCAGTTTGTCCAAGGGTTGCCGACAATCCGCCGGCCTTGGTAGCTTTTCTTGGCTACCAAGGTCCCCAGACAGGGCTCGTCGTAGCATCTCTGCGATATTTCGCAGGATTTCGCATGCGCCGGCCAACCAGGCAAGCTGGAGAGTGGTGGGCGCATGCATTACAATTGTTTATGGATTAGTTCTCTGCACTGACACGGAGCTGCTGGAGCTGCCGCGCTCCCGAGCGACTTTTCCCAGTTCGCCGGTGCACGACACCAGCTCCTTGAAGGGAGCGCGCACAAAGTGCGCAGCGTGTCAAACCACGTACACGCGAGTGTTAAAAGCCAATGCCGTCCAGCATAATGCGGCTTCATATGGTACACCGTCGCAGTATGCTAACAGCAAAAACGTATATCATGTCATGTCCTGGTATACTGAAGCTGCCTAGCATCCAGACTCAGTCCAGATCTGCAACCTCAGCATGCGACATGTTCCTCGAATTCCGCAGATGCCTCACCTGTTGTGTTGAACTCCGAGTAGTCCCCAAGCCTTTAATCCCAAAATGCTGTGTAGCTTGGACTTGTGTGTTTTTGTATGCTTTGGGGTTATCTTGGCTTTGTGTGGCCATGTCTGCAGCCAAGTGTTTTGTCACCGGTATCCGAGAGACCTCGTCTGGCTGGACCGAGTTGTGACAGTGTAAAGAGGGTTCGGGGCCAAGCCAGCTGAGCTGTAAATGCCAAGTTGCGCGGCCTTCTGATTTCTGAGATGGAGAGCTCAGGTTTTGGTGACCAGCTCGACGAATGGCTTCCTCGAGTTCATCCACGACTCGATCTCCGTCGATGCTCTCCGACCCCTTCAGCTGTCCTTCGTATATCTGGGGTTCAGGGCAGAGTCTGAGGGACTTAGGCCCGGAACTCAATCAGACCTAAACCCTAAATGCTGCTAGGTTCGGTGCTTCATGAAGGTTTTAATAATGGGCTTTCTGAAGCGGCCGCGGTGATGGTTTTTATGTAGGCGTATTTCTGGTATAGCCTGCTTAGGGTTGGGCGAACTTCGACCTCGGACTGTTCTTGGTGCCTGCAATACCTCCCCCTGCAATGGCACACGCGTCAGTTCGGGCTTTGTGCCATTCTACATCGCTCATGAATAGCCCTACCATGCAGATCCCAGATCTAGGAAGGCTCTAAGCCCTGTGTTACGTAGAAACCTTCATGTAGAAAAGTCCGCCAGCGGAGAACTTTCCACAGCAAAGAGCAGCCAGCATATTGGCTTGACTTTGACGTCGCAGCAGGCATCAGGCCCACGGCAGTGCAAAGCGCATAAAGCCTTGACCCGAGCAGCAAGTCCTTAGGTCCCAGGCACTGAACTTATGAAGTCATCAACTGCAATCCAATCCCGTATCGGTAGATCGTGAAATAAGGCCATGAAGAAGCTCTACCCTGGCAAGACGTTGGCAGATATCTTCAGAGTGGCTTTTGCCGACAGATTGTGGCTCGGGAGTATATTGAGCGTTGGAGCTTCCGGTGTGCCTTGGAATGAGACTGCTACCGCCCGCGGTGCGGGGTGCAGGGCCAGGGCCAGGGCATGAAGTTCTGGTAACGGTAACCATGAAATACTGAGATTAGTGCATGAAACCAGAACCATTTCACTTGCATTTCGCATTTGCGAAATTGATGTGCTGGTAAGTCAACTGCACAGAGCAATGCGACATTGCATAGCCAGGCTCAGACGGTATTCGGTGCACATTCATAGGGGCGATGTTTCCAGCACGATACTGCATGTGCCTGACAGTATCACTGAAAATTTCGTTTCAACAGTGCATTTCCTCAACACTTCAGGTGCTGGTCTGGTAATCGTGAACATGAAGCAATACTGTAGAAGCTGTAAGAGTTGACCTAGGGCATTGGAAAGGCAATTTAGCAGATGAAACACTCACCCATGTAAACATAACGAAGATAGTCGTAGGACAAGCTGGCACACGTTCACACAGGAAGTGCCGAAGGAGAGAAGTGCGTCTTTGCTGCGGTAAAGTTGGCAACATCTGAACCTGAATTGAGGTGCGTTAGAAGACAAGCCAAGCGAAGCACTGCATGGTAATGCACTCGTAGTCGTATACTGTTCTATCAGTGAAAGATTCCAACAACTTGGCAACACGAACATAAAAAAGCCTCACAAGCATGCAATGGTGTGAAGAGAAGTGCGGCTATAATTTTCAGGTAATCGCCATGCAACAATACATAGCACTTAGAGCTGATATGGGCTTACATGTCGCTGGAAAGCGCCAGCTGAGTAGAACAACACTACAGCCATGCAGGTTTGCATCAGAAGTTGTATCTGCACACCCGAAACATAGTAATGTCGAGGAAGAGTTGCATAGCAGCATAAGAACACTTCGAACAGCCAGCTCGTATGGTGTAATATTTTGAGATTAGAATGTCCTTTTTGGCAAAAGGCGATGTAAACCCTGCAAACCCTACAGCCTAAACAGCGTTGGCCGTTGGCGCTTCAAGCCTTGCCTGAACCTGTCCGAGTGAGTGTTGAAAAGCGCAAAGTGACGCAAGCGAGGTTCGAGGCGAAGAAGAACTTCATTGAAAGCTCGGCGGCGTACTCCCTGGTCGTCTACTTTTTGCAGGCCACAGCCTGCGCCCACGCCAGAGGTATGTTTCAAGGTTCAGGGCTTAGGGTTCACGGCTGGGCCGGAGGGGGCAAAGGCTCATAGGCTGCCATTGAGTGAGACCCAACTTTTCCTCAGCATGGCGCCTGGCGCCTGCTTCCTTTTGCGATGTGGAAAACCGAAATTTTGGTTCAAGCTCAGACTACTCAAGTTGCGAGCATGTCCACGGCAAAAGGCACCGACAGAGACAAATTTGCAGTTCATCTCAGTGTCTAACTCAGATTGTACAAACAAGGGTATCGAAATGCCAGAAAATCAGCTGCAGTGTCAGCCTCGGCCTGTGATTCGGGAGGTGTTATTAATGCAGTGATCCCCTGGATACAACAACAATATGCTCACTCTGCGCGACGCTGTGGATCGAACAACCGCTCGGCTTCCCGGGGCTTTGAGGAACTTGAGAAGCAGCCGAGCCGTTCTAGAGACAGGCACTTGCGGATCGCCGTGCGGACCTCCAGTCCCTGCCTGTAGAAAGGCTCCGCTGCTTTAAGGGGCCCCTCAGCCTCCAAGACTCGCCAGCGGCGGTGCTTCAGCTGGTGGCATGATCTCCGGTCGTGGTCATGCGTTTCGCAGCGCTCTCCCCGGATAGATTAATGCGTATGTCGAGGCCCCACTGTCCCACCTGAACCAAGCCTTTGTGCAAGAATGTGCTGAGCGTTGCAAAGGCGTTTCATGCCGACAGGTTCGTCGATGGTCGTGGTAAGTCTGCCGCGCCGGCCCTGGCGTTCTCTGTCAGAACAACTCTTCAGTGACGTGGAAGCGGCGTCGTGAGTTGCCATGCTCGGGTTGGCACGAGTTTCTTCTATGGAAGTCGTTCTATGCTTCGATCAACTTCGACCTGTCACAAAAGCCTAACAGTGGTGGCTAAGTGTTCCATCTGCACGATTGTTTGCTGCCGGAGCTTCGATTTTGCTTTAGCTTGGGAAGTGGCAGAGGCAAGGAGGCGGCGCAGCTTTGCCGTAGCTTCGCCTGGAACCTGTGCGAAGTCCTGATGGAGCGAGGATGTGTGGATGAGGCAGGGCCTCTCTGCAGCGCGGTGTTGGGCTCCAATATTTAGAGCACCTCTGCCTTGTCGACTCGCTTTGGCAGCGTATTCAGGCGTCAGCCTTGCTGGGTGTTCGTCGAAGAAGTGTTGTGCTCCACCCGGGACGTGGCAGATGTGGCGGAGCTCCAAATCTTGCAGAGCAGTGGCTCTGCGAAGCGAGACGGCCTCGAAGACGCCTCCGAGAAACTATGGAGGTTCCGAGACGGAGCTCCTTGGCACTCTCCGGAGTCTCTGCCGCTGTGGAACTTCCATAGCCATAGTCCATAGTTTCTCGGTGTCGAAAACCCACGGCTTCAAGGCCTTCTGAGAAAGCATGCCAAGCCTGCTGACACTTTTGTGCATGCTTCTCAATCGTGCCTCCAATACCTAGCAGTGTCTATATGCTTGGCGAAGTGACGTGTTGCAAACGCAAGCGGGGCGGTGGCAGCTTCACTGGCAGGTTTCGTGAGGGGATTTCCACCCTGAGAGGCTAGCCGATCCCGAAGTCCTGGCAAAAATGGTACATGCATGTAGTTCTTCAGTCAGGCCACACCCGTCATTGCAGTCCTTGCCGCGGCTCTGAAACCCGAAACCCAGATGACAAAACTGCAGGTGAAAGACCGTCACAACGGCAACCTCATGCTGTTGACAAGTGGCCACGTGGTCCACATCGACTTTGGGCCGCTTGGTTGCTGGAGCGATAGGAGTAATTTGTATGGATTGAGATTTCACATTGGATGCTTGAGGCGGTGTTCAGTCCCCACACCTTTGGAGGGCGTTTGAATACCTTTTCTTGGATTCGGGGGTCTTCTGCTTTTGCAAAGAGGGAAAGGTGGTTCCGGAACTTGGTCCTGCTACCGAGCCCTACATACCTTGAAGTTTGGCAGTCGCCAAGATGATTTGGGACTTTCATGGGTGCGATTGCATAAGCGTAACGATGTGGCGAGCTGTAGTCGTAGCAGCAGAAGAACCACATCCTCAAAACATGTCAGGGGCGAAAGAATTGGACTGGGGTGAGGTGGTGTTTAATGCATGACCTGGTGCTCTCCAAAGCAGAAGCTGTAAGAAAGCAAGGTCTTGTATTTTAGCTGGGCCGCTGTTGCAGCCCTCAATAAGCCCTGAGCCCTTAACCCAAATGTCTCCCTCGCTGGCCGCTCTGCTAGCGTGTCCAAGAGTGAGTGCCGACATCAGACAAAGCCCTGCCATGCTTGGCTTGCGGCGGCCAACAACAAAAAACTGCAGACCCCAATCCCTAGATCCTCACATCGGCAGGTTCATGCTCTCCAACTCGCCCGGTGGGAATATGGCCTTTGAGAACTCGCCTTTCAAGCTGACTCAGGCGGAAGTGCTCGGCCGTATCCGCAGATCCCTGATTCCCCAAGGCTTCCAAAGCCAATTCATCACATATTATTATTATTATTACGTTTATTCTTTTTATTATTACTACTACTAGTACTACTATTACTATTGTTATTACTCGTATTATTAACAGGAGATCCTGGATGTCATGGATGGCGAATGTTCGGAGCAGTACGAGTACTTTCGCAGCCCGTCGGATGTGCCAGACTTGGAGCATCGCGAGCCTTCCCAAAAACCCTAAACCCTAAACCCCTAAACCCTAAACCCTAAACCCAAGCTACCACCCGTTCCACCAAGTTGGAGGCTTCCCATTCACGCGGACCTCCAATTTGCAAGCATGTGAGCCCTGCACCCAGAAACGACCACTGTAATGGGGTTGAGAGGCACTCGTCACTAGATAGAATCCGCTTCTTTGCACGAATGGCTTCGGGACAGCCGTAGTTTGAAATTTAAGTCTATGCTCTTTACCACAAGCTCGCGCGAAGAGACCTGTGTTCGAGTTGTGTGACCCAGGGAGGTTTAGGTTTCAGGCTTAGAGCCTAGGAAAGCCCTAAAACCAGAGGTGTCAGTGGGAGTCGAAGCGGAAGAAGCCCCAGGCACGCTGCTCATTCGCGGCTTTCTGGAAGCGCGGAAGCACATGGATCGGATCGTTTTACAGGCCGGATTCGCCTGAACTCCGGAATCCCTCTTCTGCGTATCGCAATATTAATTAGGAGGTGTACGTTAGGTGCATCGTTAGCTCCTTAGTGCTGAGGGCGAAATTCAGGGTGGAGGGTTTCTTGTTTTCGGGTCTAGGGTTTGGGGTTTAAGCCGAGGGTCACTTGGATTGGAGGGATTGCCCTGCAAGTGTCGTCAAAGCTTGTCCTTGGCCGCAAATGCTTTCAGACCAGTTTCCAAGCCTGTCTCACAAGGTGTGGCAGCATGTTCTGCTGCCCTCGTACTGTGGGAGAGCCACCACATCCTGAAAATTGCCAACTAAGTGTGAAATACATGTGACAAAAGTGTGACCTAAGTGTAAAATCAAGACAAGTGCCACCAACCTTGAAGAATAAGAGCAAAACGCTGTACAAATCGCGCTGCCGCTGGGGTTTCCTTAGGAGAATGACATTGTGTCCAAGCGTATTTTTTCCGGAATTCACGGCTGCCGGCGCGAGGAGCCCAGTCATTTGAAGACGAGGCAAGAAAGGTGAACCTTTGCATGTAGGGGTGTGTTTACACTTCATTTTCTCCGTCACATGTTGTGGTAGGTGGGTCATTGTCTCCAAAACTGAACACGGCCGTGGCAGCTTGGTTTGTCCTGGGAAATGCACACTCCAAGGATTCCGCGAAAGTATCGGTAAAAAGTCAGAAAATGCATTAGCAGGAAAAACATGTGTGCAAAATTACCGCAGGTTGCGAGCTGTCAAGACAGGTTAGGCAGGCAAGTTTGTAAGAGTGTAAACAATGCGTGAAAGAGGGGGAAATGGCCGCATCCGCTTGATTCTGAAGCTCGAGGCCACTGCAGTCCTTTCTTACACAGTGCACACACTCTATTCACGTACACTTGTGTTGCACGCGTCGTTTGCAAGGAAATAATTCGCAGGATTCCCTTATTGAAAAGAACAGAGGACCTTTTAAGACTAGTGGGGTACTGCTCAGAGGCTGGTGGCTGTCGGTTTTGTGTTGTAACCGTTCCGTGGGGTAGTATCCCGGATCTTGAACCACTCGGCATGCTACCAGGTGCGGATGATGCTGACTGGCTCGAAGATGCCCTGCTTCCGAGAGGGGGCAGACTTCGTCCTGTCCACGCTGCAAGACAGGCCGGGCCTGTCTTCGGGCACGCAAGCCGGTATGGTCTGTAGGTATCTAAACCTTGAAAATGTAACCCTCAGCAATCGATCTCCCACATGCCGGAGGGTCGTAAGTGTTTCTGCTAAAACAACAGATCAAGCATAGTTTTATGGAGTCCTTGTCGTAGTTTATAACTTTAGCTCCAAGCTGCAGTTTAACTCACCAGCTGCCTGGCGTCGAGATGCCCTGGGCACGGAAGCTCCCACTGCATAGACTGCATAGAAAAGGATTGCAGGTTCGGGACCGTTTCGAGTTCGGAAGTTTTGGTCGGGGCGTTGAAGATCCTGCATGTTTTCATAAGGTTATTCGCTGTTGGACTGCCTGGCTGCGAGCAGGTTCTTTTGCAACCTGACGGAAGAAGCTTGCATCCTGGCAAATCCATTCCTGGAGAAGTGGGCGGAATGCGAGTGCGTCGGGTGTATGGCTGCTGCGTCTTGCGTTGTAGGCCAGAGTGAGAAGAACCTTTGGTCTTGCCACGGGCGAAAGCGCGACAGGCCCAGTCAGGTCTCAATGGTGTCCGTGCATGTGAACAGCCGGGGGGATTACGTACCAATTTCCCTTTGTTTACTTGTCATACTTCATAATTGGGCTGTTGTCGTTGTGATCTTGGCACGTGGGTCAATCCTGGTTGGTGCTGTGTCACGGTCCTCCCGAAAGCCCCATAATCATTGGGGGGCCCTGGTGGCCGGGGGGGTTCAGACGCCCCTTATGCCTTATGGAAGAAGAGAGGTGACCATTTTTGGCTCTAGCCACGAGCGGTTCAAGAGCCGCCCGAGTTGCCCGCCCTCCGCCCTGAGGGCCGATCTCTCCTCTCCACTTGCTGCACAGGGGACTCGGGGCTCAAACCTGGCAGCCTCTTCTCTTCCCCCCCCCCCTCTCGTTCTTTCTGCCGCGATTGCCCGAAGACTTGGCGGCAAACTGTGAAGCTGCTCGTCCTGCACGTTCTTGTCGGGGAACTCGGTGTGCAACGATCCAGTACGGTGACCGCTGCTGTGCTGACTCTTAGGGAGTTTCAGAACCGCTACCTGACAGCCATCGGCGACCTTACGTGTCGCCTCTTCGCGCCGGGGACCCCTACCGCGAACGAGACCGTGCCTTACTACCTGATCGTGGCAGTGGTCATCCTGCCAAGAATGCATACTTCCGTGGTTGGCGGCGTAGGAGGGGGATCGCCCGACACTGCGAATAGCATTTTCAACCATGGCGAGTCCGCAGGGGCACTCTTCCATAGAACTGTGTTTCCCGGGCATCGCCCCACGGCCTGGCTACCACCACGGAGGTGGCTATAGACTTTTTTGGTGCGCAGCACCCGAATAGAAGCCGAGTGCTTGCAATCCTTTTGGCGCTGTGTGCTTGCATCCCTTTAGAGGAACGCCCCTCTTTCCTTCACTTTGCGCCTTCTTTCTGGCGTGGGGCGTGCGGGACACAAGACCTGCACACTTATACGCTCTAATAGACGGGCCGCTGAGCCATCCAAACCCGTGCCGTACCAGGGCCTAAGCCTTTCGAGACGGTTCCAAAACCGATCCATGTTTGCTGTATGCAGCACTTCTAGCTGCAACTCGAGTATTGCGTTCCAAATCAGTGTGTATCTCGTGTGTTGAACGCCGGGGCGTCGGGAGCCTAGCGGGGCTGAGTGCCGGTTGCTAGCTCACTTCGTTGTTTGCTTGCCGCTAGGAGCAGGGTTCGGGGCGAGTCCAACTGTTAAGTTTCAGGACGTTGAGATCTCCTACGGTGTGGGCAGGGTTTTCCCTGCTCTAGATCTTGAGCAAGCAAGCAAGAGAGAGAGAGAGAGAGAGAGAGCCAGGAAGCCCATGCCTGCCAAGGACCGCAGGTGCGCGTTCGCGTGCAGGGGGAGGGGCTTGACCGCCCGAACCCTATGCCTGGTAGAGAGA